GCCCCAAAAGGAATGTGACCTGAGGATTACTGTGGCAGGGAGGAAATCCTTTGTCCTCCCGAAACGGTTCATGTTTACATTTGCATGGGCCCGTGATTGATCCCTTCTCCTTGTTTATTTTCAGAGCAGACAGTAAGCCAGGGAAGGGTCAACAGAAACTTAGGAAAAAAGGCTGATTGATTCATTTTTAGGTATTTGTTGATCCCCCTTTTCTGAGGTCCGAGTGCCATCAATAGCTCCTTTTCATACTTCCTCCCAAATCCAATCATAGACCAGGAAACCCATTGTTCCCCTTGTCTGTCACCCCGCCGATGAGGACAAAGACTTGAATAACAGCTGGCGGATGCCCCCTGGGCACACCATTTCCCCTGAGCTGTCAAGCTTCGTCCCGCCTCCTGGCTGCTGATTGGACCATCTTCAGAGGCGCTAGGAAGGCGCCGATTGGCCCCCTAGAGGCAGCGGAGCTCGCCGATTGGACAGGAGGCGGGACGCACAGCCGAGCCTCCTCCCAGCTGTTCCGTGGTCAGCCAATCAGGGCGAAGCCGGCCGGCAGAGGGCGGGCGGGCTTTTTTGAAAATGTTTCCTTTGTCTGTACACTATAAAAATGCCTAGAAAACTCTGTAAAACCATGCTTGCAGTGGAATGATTCCTGTAATGCATCTGATCTCAGCTGAATCACAATAAACCTCGGTTGCTGAAAAGAAACTTCTTCCACTTGGATGAGGCATTATTATTTATAATATTTTTACTCTTTGGATTGGCTCTCGCTGGCCTCACCAAGGGACCCAGAGCCCTTTAGGCGCGGTCCTCGGGTTTCTCTCTCTCAAGGAGACCCTGCTAAAAGCAGCTCGATATCAGGAAGAGAATGGAAGCAGGGGGGCAGCTGCTTGATTGTAGGGGGGGGGGCTCTCCTCCGCACTTCCATTCCCTTCCCCACTTTCCAGGTCTCCCTTCTGGGGGGCAGAAGGGAGAGAGGAGGTGATCCCAGGTAGCTGGTGGATCACTGGAGGGAAATGGAAGCACTGAGGAGACTCCCCCTCCTGCGATTTACCAGCTGCATACCTGCCTGGTTGGCCAGCTGGAGAAGGAAGAAAAGAAGAAAGAGCAGCAGCACCCTTTCTCCTCTTCTTCCTCCTCTTCCTTCTCGAGAGCCAATTGAAGGAGGAGGAGGAAGAAGGAGCAGGGGCGCTGCTGGGTTTCTTCTCTTCTTCCTCTTCAAGGGCCAGTTGGAGGAGGGGGAGGAGAAAGGCAGAAGCAGCCCTTCTTCTCTTCTTCCTCCTCCTTCTTCCTCCAACTGTCCATCGAAGAGGAAGAGGAGGAAAAAGAGAAGAAACTGCAGCAGCGCCCCTCCTCCTCCTCGATGGCCAGCTGGAGAAGGAAGAGGAAGAAGAGAAGGGGCCCTGCTGCCTGGGCAGTGTAGAAAAGCGACTGCTCCAACTCCCAGAGCAGGCAATGTTGCTAGACCAGCCCTGCGTGAGCTGCCTGCCGGAAGCTAAAGCCAGGAGGGACAAGTGGAGAAGGGGAGCCCAGCTCTGCTTCTTCCTCCTCCCCAGCCTCCTGCTCCTCCTCCTCCTGACACCGGTGTGAGGGGCAACCCTTCAGGGCACGGTGATCCAGCGCGGGCCGGATAAATGCCCCTGGGGGGCCAGATCCGGCCTGCGGGCCTTAATTTGGGGACCCCTGATCAAAGGGAAAGAAGTGCAGAGAAGCAGATTCCTGCCAGCACCTGCCACATGAGGCAACCGCTTCATTGGCCTGAATGTCGGGCCTTTTCCAGAGGGTCAAAAGCTCAATGCGCTTTGTCCCATCTCTCAGTTTGAAATAAGCCATGCTGAGAGTCAATTGTGTAGAGCAGTTAAGAGTTCTGGGCTGGAGACATCCTCCTATAAAGCCCTAACTTTCATCCCAACCTCCCTTGGAGGGCTGTTGTTAGCAATGGGTAAGGCCGTTGACAAGGCCAAAATAAAGAAAGGCCCAGACCCAGATGGATTTTCTGTCTTGTTCTACAAGCTGTACAAAGATGAAATAGGTTTATTATTGCTTTCAATAATGAATTGAGTGCTCCAGAAAGGGGAAACTCCAGACTACTGGGTATGAGAGTCCTCATGCCTGAACAAGGTAGACATATGCATTTTACTGTATTTGTGCGCTCCTGCAGCACTATTATAAGCCTCCCTGAGTCCCTTTTGGGAGATTTTGGCAGGACAGAAATAAAAGTATTACTGTTCTTCTTATTATTATTAGGAACAAGTCAAGAATTTCAGACAAATTTCATTAGTAAATTGTGATTACAAGTTATTTGCAGAAATATTATCAAATAGACTGAAACAAATCTTAGTGAAAACAATTCATGGAGACCAAGTGGGCTTGAGAAAAGGCAGAGGAACGAGAGACCAAACTGCCAATATCCACGGGATAATGGAGGAAGGCGGGAGTTTCAGAAAAACATCTGCTTTTGTTTAGGGCTTTATAGGTCAAAACCTGCAATTTGTATTAGGGCCGTAAACGTATTGCTACTGTGAAGCCAAACACCAATAGATCTGGACCAAATTTGGCACAAACACCAGACACGCCAAAATTTGAATACTGGTGGCTTTGGGGTGGGGGATTGA